TTGCAAAAGTTGAAACGGGCAGAGAGAAGAAAGAGACTTTGTTGGACGAAGCATGGGAAGTATATAGCAATAGGGAAGAGAGAGACCGGAGGAGGGAAAAGCGGGTGTTGGTAGCAGCAGAAAGTAGGAGATTTGGGAATGTGGGACCCAAGAAGCCTTTAGGGAAGGACCAGTGTGCATGGTGTAAGCAGAGGAGACACTGGAAAAATGAATGTCCAGAGGCGGAAAGGAAAAGTGAGGGTACAAGCCCATGTTAAGGACGATTGATGGGGACCTGGGGAATCTACCTTAGTGGATCCACTGGTTGTAATAAAGCTATGGAAGCAACAGCACAATATGGAATTTTTAGCTGATACTGGAGCAACATTTTCAGTTTTAAATGAAGCTTTAACATCTTTAGAGGATGACTTTGTAACAGTAAGGGGAGCTATTGGCCAAAGTGAAAAGGCATACTTTCTGAAACCTTTAAAATTTAAATTAGGAAAGCAATTAGGAGTACACAAATTTTTATACATGCCAAATTTGCCAGAACCTCTACTGGGACAAGACTTGTTAGAATAATCAGAGGCAGAAATCAAATTTTAAAAAGGGAAAATAGAAATCAGAGTTGTGGAAAAATGGTTGATTGAAATTTTGAGCTTAGCCCTCATGAATACTCCAGTTAAAACAGAGATCCCTGAGGAGGTTCGGGACCAAGTATATCCAGTGGTATAAGCCTCAAAAACATCGGGAAAAGCAAAGACCACCTGCCCTATAATAATCAGACCTAGACAGGGGACAAAGCCCATAAGAATTACACAATATCCCCTTAAAATAAAGGACAGCTGAGGGAAATAGAAAAATTGGTCCTAGGGACCAGAGCCTGGGGTCTGGATGGGCCTGTACACGACATTAAACCTGGTGATTATGTATATATCAGATCTTTTTCAGATTCACCTCTGGAACCAAAGTGGGAGGGTCTGTTTCAGGTGTTACTAACGTCCCATATGGCAATCAAGGAGCAGACATCGTGGATACACACCATACCAGGGTGAAGAAGGCCCCTAAACCACAGTGGGAATTGCCACCCATGGGACCTTTGAAGCCTCACATCCAAAAATGATGATGTGGGTTCTTATGACTGCTGAACTGTAGCTTAAGTGCTTAGGAACAGCATAATATAGCAAAGGAATTTTCAAAGGTGAAAGAAAAGGGCAAAACTGAGTCAAGAAATGTAGAGTTTGTTCTTCTCCTTAGTAACTTTATTTAGTGTAGCTTGGCAGACAGAGGATTAGCTTAGTATGATTAAAAAGTACCAGTTAGCCTTGAGGCATGAAGTAAAGAGATAACAAGAACAACATGGAGCAACCATCTGGCAGAGACCGACTCTGTGAGTTGGGGCCCCACCAACTCAGCATTCCCAGCGAAAGGTGGAAAGTACACAGTGAGGAAGACTGCAGGCCTTCCTCCAGAAGACCCCTGAAGATGACCACCAGGAGGGAATATGCAAGTGCAAAGACACATAAACATTTCAGAACTGCTGACACAGACTTTTGAACTAAACCCCACCTTAGTTATGCATATGTATGTTTGTATTGTGTAACCCTATGAATATGTATATCTACACTGTATAAATTTCTGGTAAAATGTGCTGTGGGTGTGCAAGCTTTGCAGAGAAATCCCTTGCACCCCGGTGCCAGAATAAACATACCTACCTTATAACTCTTCAGGAGTTGTAGCGTTTGTCTCCATGCGTCAGCTGTATCCCATCCTCTGTGTCTGAGGTGTGCAGTTCCCAGGAGTGAAAAGATTGGCCAAACAGCTCCTCCGGAATCTCCACAGGACAGCACTTGAATGTGCCACTGCTCACAGCTCCTTCTAATTTTAATAGATTAAAATCCCACGAAAGTGTAAGAACTGTCATCAGTCACCAGCTCTGCAGAAGTTTAAAGTAACAGAGATATAGTTTTGATGGAAGATTGTGCATTGTGTGTTTACTTTGGGGCTTGTTTGTTTATTTCTTTGAAATCATTCTTGTCAGCTCTTTCGTTCTTCGAATTATTTCATGGGGAGAACAGTAAGACTATTGCACACCCAGTAAGTTCTTGCACAGCTGGCAGAAGACACCAGAACACCTCATTGTCCAAGCTAGGCCGGAGTGAGAAGTGTCTGACAAAAGTCAATTATCTTGGACCCTATAAACAGGACCCTGGGTGAGACCCTCCGAGCTCTCCTGCACCACAGTGGGCCTGTGACCAGCATCTCCTCTTCTGCTGCTGTGTTTACTGACGACATTCTTACATGCCCATGCTTTGCTCTGGGCTTCTGTCCAGCTACAAATCCAGACTACTATGACAGAAGCTCCAGGTTAGTTTCTCAAATTTGGAAAACATCCCTTCTGTAATTGTTAGTGATGCTTGAAACTACTCCCATTGCCTTATAAACCAAACCCTTTCTCGTGGTTACTGAAGAAGGCTGTGGGTTCTGATGCTTTTACACTTGAGTTTCATGGCTATCTAAATAATTTAGATATGGGGTAAGCAGCAGCAATCAGAGAATTCACTCTGAGAACAAACCATTTCCTCTGAACCAAGAAACTAATGGGACCACAGGTTACAGCATCTTCTGCAGCCAGAAGCAGCCCCTGTGGCTGCAGCATGGAGCAGCTGGAGGGTACTGGGCGGGGG